AACACTGCACTCACTTGAAATCACTGTAGGTGAAAAGACATCTTTTGGGGAAATGAGCCTGATCGCGCAGTACGTGAACAGGACAGGCTAAGCGCGTTAATATCCACATCTCTTTCTTTATTCTATCGCCATCATAATAATATTATTGGGCACCAATGAAGTAGTCTTCTCCCCCTGGCCCCCGCCACACAACAACGCAAACTCTTGGTTATATCTTCAATACTTATATTATACCAAGAAATGAAATGACGAGGGCGCAGGAGGAGAGAGACAAACTTTGTGAATGACGGGAAAGACTCCCGGGAAAAGACTCAACGAAAACAACAAAAGAGCAAGCAGTAATATTGCGACGACAAATCGGGACGACCAATCAGGGACCAATACGTACAGAACACATGACCAAGACCAAGACAACCAGACCACGGACAAATCACACACGACTCTCATTCCCAGACTAAACTAGCACTGCGCATGTACAGCATTCACTTGACAGTCACTCTCGCACAGACGGAAGCACATCCTCACACTCTGACAACGCGACTCTTGCATGCACCACATACCATAAACGTCACACGTCACCCCATACTCGCGCGTACACTTAGACCATATATGACATCAGACACTGGACTCCACAAGACAAGAACCAAATACGACAACATGCGTAAATCATAGTCGAACAGAAATCCGCAACATCAATGCCCGTTTGGTTTGCGTTGTTAAATAAAACTTCAAACAAACAAATCAAACAATAGTTAGCTGACACACCCACACATGGCTAGGTTGTACGTGAAAAGGTTACAAGAAATCTTGTTCACTCTTATCTCCCTCGAGCAGACCTCCAAGTTCCGGGCACCTCGGTCTACCCGGGCACCCTATGGGTGAATTTTCGTGAAAATATTGCTACTCTCTTGCCACTATTAGTAGAAATATTACAAGTATTACTCTTTTGCCACTATTAGTGGAAAAATTGTTACTCTTTTGCCACTATTAGTGGAAATATTGTTACTCTTTTGCCAATATTAGTGGAATTATTGTTACTCCTTTGCCAATATTTGTGGAAAGAGTGATGCGATATGCAAGATCTCTGGCCCTTCCCCATCAAAACCTTCATGATGCAGAATTAGGGACATGTCCAAGTTAGGGACAGTGCCCGGTCCCCGGGGGCTGCCCGGATAAGAGAGATATGAGTGCATCGACAATACACTGGCCTGTTGGCAGGGCAACCTATGCATGTGTTACATGCATGGGCTTGGCGATTGGTGTCCGATGTGTCACACCCGCAGTGACACCGTGCGTACAGTCCACGGTCCTAACCAGCTCAGACAAAAGTTTTTGTACGTTTTGAAGCCTCGGTACCTTCACATGCGTAGGTAAAATTGGCTTACCGGTATCTGACAGTGCCGTTTCCAGTCTCTGCATCCCTCTGGACCGGGGTGGTTTCAGTTTGTAGACTGCAGCTTTTTCATCGACAGGACAACTAAGAAATTCATTGAGACCCATCAATGGCCAACGTCACCCCGAGCCACTGTCCCACGGAAGTGTGCAATCCAATACAGGGATTGATTTATCCGGGTTCACATCGCAGTTTGCGAATCAAAATTCACTGGCTGCGATTCGCTTTCGTTTTCTATCGCCTAAAACTGCGATGCACTGGCCATGCATAGCGGTATGTACAAAGACCATTCTGTACTGATTGTGTGCAGTTTACATACGACTGTTGTACACACTGCTGACTTGGGAGTAGTATTTTACTACTCCAACCAACTGGCCTCTCCTGCTCAGTCCGCGCGGGGGTCGCGGATCGCGCTCTTTATGATTTTGGACACTACACTAGCACTGGTCGTGCATGACTGCTGTCTTTTGAAGTTTTGTACACGGCGGCGACTTTCCCTGAAGTTCTTAAGCTCAATTCAGTTTGTTTCTTTTCGACAAGACACAGTTGAAGTAGATGGTTCTTAGTCTCGGTCCTTCGTCTCATGTAGCCAACATGTCAGTGAATCTGATCACTGTCCAGAAGTGGGAAAAGAACTGGATGCGCCAGGGGAGGCGATTCGTTTTGATGAAGAAAAGGAGAAAAGCGAAAATCTGTGCGCTTTGCACGAAGTGTCACGATCGTTTGAGCGCTTTCCCTCGCTTCTTTGTCGAAGGAATCAGTGGAACTGCCCTGTTGAAGGACATTGTGTTGTGAAGAACTCGAAGTTGGACAGACGCTGAACATGTAACGAGCCCAAGCGAAACCCTAATGTAAATATTCAGGTCAACCGTTCGCTTGGAAAAGCAAATAGCAATTGCAGCTATTGTCCTCTTCTGTACATAATCCTGTTATTGTACAGAATTGCATGGAAACATTTGATGAAGGAAAACTACTCATCAATACTGGGAGGTGCTAGTCAATTGTAAAACTGTGTGGCAGTGACTGCTATGCAAAAAAATCAAAGTAAATCGATCCCTGCATTTGAAGGAAACCTGCATCTATAGGATGTGTTTAGTTGCTAAAATGCCCTGTTGATGGTGTCACCTGGGTAGACGTATACAGGCCATAGTAGATTAAAAAAGGTAGCTGTTTGCTGGCACCAGAAATACGTAACCAAGAGTGTTCAGCCGCGTCAGCGATCCCTTTCAATAGCCCGCGGCAGAATATTGTTCGTATTAAATGACAACAGTCTTTCGCAGTAATTAGGCTCACTGTTGCTATCTTGCGTAGCCAGAGATCGAAAGGGCAAAGAAGACGTCCATCGCCGTTGCAATGGTCACAATGGAGCAGATCTTGTGGATGCATGTATGCTTCCTAAACTGGTGGAACTGACTACGTAGCATGAATAGTGCGGAAAGGCGTACACATCTGATCATACTGCCGCCGAAAAGTGGCCTCAATAAAGGAATTCTGCCCTTGGCGAGTCCATCGCAGCAGACCATGTAGGGTGGGCGTTGCGCACACTCCTGGCTATGTACCCTTGCCGACCCCTCCCCTCAGTGCATTTATTCTTTCAGCATTGCAATGGATCTGACATGTGTGAGGTAAGGAAATGTCACTTTTCTCACTTTAAAAATAATGTTATGTCTTCATTGTGTCTTATGTACATGCCTAGCCAAGGGTTCAGTGTAAGAGTGGTAATAGTAATACTCAAGTGACATCATCAACGGGGCAAAGTTCCTAGCCTGTGCTGCATGCAGTACCAAACGTTAAACTTAGTTTGTTTAGTCCTACTGTCGTGGACATGGAAGTCCGGTCGCACGTCTAGCGGCCCCAGGGCGCTCGCTGGCCATGCAGGCGTGGGTAAGCTGTACACATGCATTTATGCGCTGCAGCACGCTGGTCGCATCGGATCAACATGTGCACTGCATGCAACGTTCTGTACGTGCTGAGGGCGCCGACCCCAGTCAGTCGACTGGATTTCCATGTCCACGACAGTACTCTGCCGAAATGAAAGTGTAAGCGAGATAAATACCAATCGCGAGTACTGGCAGGCAAGGACAGCAGAGCCTGGAGTACGAGTACAGCTCGATCGACAAGAGCGTATCAATAGTGCGTAACTCCACAGCGTGTGCAACTCCACAAAGGCTTCAGTCACGACTCATTTTTGACGTATTTCATTTGTTCACGGTGCAATGCGCCTGACGGTGCTCGAAACTTCATTCTGCACGGTTGACTTCGCATCTAAATACATAGGGCCTAATTAGATCACGAGGAATGGAGTTATTCCAGTTACGTATCTGGTCCAGCTTTTAGTGGTGCATAGCTGAAAATATTCTTGAATCAGTCCGTACCTACAGCAGTAAGAAATTGCAGTGTACAGCTATGCAGCACACATACAGCTAGCTACAGGTAAACGTGAACTTGGCACACTGGCACTCGATTCTGACTTCCCAGCAGCCACTGAACTCTGTGGTCCCCGTCATTTGGCCCGAACTTGCGCATGCTGAACGAAGGCAGAAAGACGTAGTGCCCCCCCCCCCCCCCCCATGCTCCTCACGGGGTGCAGCATGACCTGTCTTCTAAAGATGAGTAGTGGCGAAAGCAACCATTGGTGGTTGAAAACTCTGTAGAGTTATGTACTCTTGCCAGTAAGTAATGAGAGTAGCGAGATAAAAATTGAAATTAGCTGCAGGAAGAGATCTCCTCCTGTAAACAGCGATCTTACTACAACCTCCTACAGAAGTTGTGCAATGACGCACCATCCCGGAGAAAGTGCTGCAAAGTGGATGCGACTTGGTGGCAAGAAAAGACCGTCTCACAAGGAATTTTAACTTAGCAGGCCATTGACGGTGCGAGCCGAAATGAAAATCAAGTTATGTAGTGTCACTTGCCTGAGGTCAACAAAGCCCCCAACGCCAAAACTATGTCAAATATCTGCACAACAACATCTTATTTATTTTATTTTATTTCACCGTCCAATGGCAGAAGCCAATGCAAAGGAGAGGGCGCTATCCAGCCATGGCAAGAGAAGGAAAAAGAAAGAAAAAAGGAAAGAACATAATAATAATCGGAAGAAAAGAACGCATCAAAGCGAAAAGAACGCATCAGCAGGGTGAAATTTATCACTGTGTTGCGAATAGTGGCGAGATAAGCTAGCAAAATGTACTTCAAAGTACAATCAACTTCGCTAATAATGACTGCGGATATAACGACAATTCGCAAATAACGACAGAATTTCCATGCCCAGAGCAAAGTCCCATCCAACTGTAACACATATAATGAGACTTCGGGTATAAGGACACTTTTCTGATGCCCCGCCGCCGCCGAGTGTCATTATACGCAAAGTTGACTGTACATGTATAAGTGGGGAAACACGTACTATGCTGCGACTGTGAAGCACTGCTCCCTCTCTGCATCCCATGGCCCCAGTGCATGTACTACAGTACGTGAGGTACAACACATGAAAAAGGGTGAATATCATGCTTATAATGTGGTGTTTTAGCTTTAAAATGTTACCAGTTGCATTGGTTTCTCCGTGCTGTGGCATTATGTATTGGTGTATGTGTGCGTAACACATGCAGTGGCCCCATTCTCGACCCAGACACTGGCCTTATTGAGATCAACAAGAAGAACAGGGCGAGGGGTTTTATACCGCCACACGATCCCAACGTTCCTGCCACGGTCCCGATGAATCGTATTCCCGCCCACCTGACCAGTGGAGGGGACTACGACGTCGTTCCACCCAATGCAACCACTGCTCTGGGAGCACAGGGCACAAATACCACTGGTCAGATGGCAGCAAATGGAGAGGCCGAGAATGAGTACGACGTCGCCCTGCCACCAACAGCCGCCAAGCCTGGTGCGGACCCGGCCGGTGACACCTACGACACGTTCACGTTCAACACTGAACCGACTGGTGAGGGTCCCGACCCGAGCACGTACGACCACATCGGCAAGGTCTTGCCGAACGCTGCCGTAGTCACTGCCCCTGCTTCGGCTTCACCTGCGGTGCCCAAACCGGATGTGTACTCGACGGTCGATTCAACCAACCTTGCACCGCAGGCCCCAGCACTGGCAACAACTCCTACACAGCCTCCTCCTGACGCGGCCCAGGGCACGGCCGCTGACGACCAACTGCCACCACCAAATTTGGAGTCCCCGGCTACGGATTCACCTGCACCTCCCAGAGACGTGTACTCAATGGTAGATCCAACAAAGAAAAAGCGCAACAAATAGAGTGGAGACATCCCAACGGCATGCCTTGTAAGGCCACTTCTCACAACCCAGCAGTACTTGTACATGGTAGGAGGGCATGCCTTGTAAGGCCACTTCCCACAACCCAGCAGTACTTGTACATGGTAGGCTAAGTCTGACGCTTTCCTTCCATCCTTTTTCGACCTCACCTCCTTCCCTTTCTTTCCTCTGTATTGTCATCATCGGTCTTCTTCAGCCGTCAGCAACCACTCCTGCTCTCTCATTCTGTCTGTCTTTCCCTGTTTCTTTTTTTCTTTCTTCCTGTCCCTCTTCCCGTACCCCAGGGCCTCGGGCAAGCCTATCTGAAACTAGGCCACAGTTCTTCTGGCTGACGTGCTCAGCTGCACCTGCCATCACCATCCCATTGGCCCGGTTCTCCGTTTGCATGTTGCCCTATGTCTATGACTATCGGCCCGCATGCACACACGAGCGCGCACGCACAGATACATACATGCACACGCACACACGCACACACATACACACACACATGCTCACAATGCGTTCCACGCTACGCACGCATGCACACACACGCGCGCACACGCGCCATCACAATGCTTTCCACACTGCGCTTGCTGCATGCCATTCTCCCCTTTGTTAATGTTGTTGTGCATATTTGAGCACTGCACTTTCCCAAGTCCCTTTGTCATGTTCTTCGCCAGGGGCTGCTCGACCCGCACGAAGTTCGACAGACACCTGCATGCCACTCTCCTACTTTTTGCCACAAAAAAAATGCAAAATCCTACAAAAAGGTTTCACTCTGCTCATGTATAACACATCTGTAGTGCATGTATGGTCTGCATGCCCACATTAAATACGCTCCATCAAAATCAGTCATAGCTGTCACCCATCCACTTGCATGCTTCCCCTGGTCACCAACTGCTAGCAAACACACTGTTACAATTCCCCAAGAAAAAAGAAAAACAATAGGACAAGTTAGTGTTGCACGTTGCCGTATTCTCTCCCTCCGCATGTGATTCCGTTTCCTTGTTTTTATTTCTCTCGTTTTTTCTGTTTTTGGCTTTTCCACTTCCTCTGTACATGTGGTTACTTCATCTTACGCAACCACTTGTAGCGGTAACTTAGTAGTGTCCCTTTCCTGGTGGCAAGCAGCCTTTGAGCTAGTTTAGCAACCTGCCAAACAATGTATGCCTCCCTTTTCTTTTTTAAATTACTGTATGGTATGGTTTCTTACCGTGTTTTGCGGCCAATTTTGAGCAGTCCCCAGTTTCGTTTCCTTTTCAGTTCGAGCCGTACTCCATTTTCTCCCTTTTTTTAGTAGTTCAAGTTGTTTGTGTTACTCGGCACTTTGCCGTTTCTTGCGTGTTCAGGCTAGCTACGGAGCCGTGCATTGTTTGCAATCAACGTTATCTCATCAGATCCTCAAATATATCTCTGTGCAGTGCAGGTTTTTGGCCTGACCTTGCGCCAGATTACAGTATCTGTGAGGCATCCACTTTGCGTCACATTGCCGTTTATCTCCTATTTTTTTCACTCCACCAATGGGCAATGCCTCGACGGCCGTTTCTTCCGTATTCTTCCTTTCTCTTCTTGTTTCTCGTTTTGAAAAAAACTCTGAAAATTTTGGTCCTGCCACTTCATGTTCGCAACCTGTTAGGCAGTGGAGTACAGGGAGAAAGACTTCTCAGTGGTCCCACCGGAAAAGATAATAATGACAGCGGAAAAAGCGAGATGATGCGCCCCTCGTTGTACACACGCGCTGCAGTGAGACCATGTTCGTGTCGTCATTTTTGACTGCTACTTGTATAAACACACTAGAAGTAGACAGGTGCCCTGTGCTACCTAAAGTGGGGTGTGACGTATGTTGTCCTGTGTCCTGCCTTGCTTCTGCCCCCCCCCCCTCCCCCCCCCCCCCCATGTCGGAGTTGTAGTGCTGCTGACATTGATGGTTCCTTTGAATCCTTCTCCCTGGCCATTCGGCTTCCTTGTGTCCAGGTGTGGCAAGGCCTTGCGCAGCTCCCAAATAGCACCAGAGCCGGCAGAAGCCGGCGTTCCGCTACGTCCGGACGTCCACCAGTACCAGCAGCAGCGGCTTGGTTCGGGACGTGACCGCTCACCGTCGCAACACGACGACAAGAACGGAGATAGCGGCGAGAAGAGTGTCAGCATCCCGTTGTTTGTTCCGGCGTCGGTCGAGGACAGGCTCGTGCCTGGGTCGGAGAAGTGCACAGGAGTCGTTCACATTTGATGTCTGCTGCATCAGTGCTCGAGAATTTACCAGATATGAAGTCATCCTGACCATCCCTCTTTGTTGAGTTTTTGATTCAACGAGTCGCTGCCGCCGAACTTTTTGTCTTCTTTGTGTTGGACACATGACTCGAAGGGAACGTTTATAGATTGAGCCCAACGCAATGCTCTCTCTCCCTGCATTGCCCCGTTGCAGCTGTTTCAAAAGCCCCGTGCTCTCTTTTATGGTAGTTTTGTTCCAAGGCGCCCAGCGTAGTTGCCGCTGCACCTCTTCCCGTTTTTGTTGTACCTTGTAGTCCTATTTGACAGTGTTCCGCATTTCCACGTTTTGTCCCGCCGCACTTTTGCCTTGCCTTATGGAGAAGTCAGCGTGACAGTGAACTGAATTTTCGTCCGAAGATGTTAACACTGGATAATGCGCACTTGAAAGGGAGCTTTGCACAGTTTTTTTACTGGGCCGAATGATGAAAAATGTAACAGAATAGCATGTGCACCATGCAGGCTGGGGCCTGAGTTACACTGAGTAGGGACAGCGAGTGTGATCGGCATCATCGGAGAGATCTACCTGCTCTGGCTTCTTCGTAGGGCAAGGCGGGACTGTGTGGACGCCAGGCCGACCACTACTGTGTGTATGCACGGCTTATGGCCCAGTAAGAGTTGTGTTGTGTTCATTGGCCTGTGCTGGGCAATGGTGTCAAGAAAGGTACTGAAGTTTGTCTTGTAGATCTGACTACACTGCATGATGAGGTGTTGTGTTCCTGAAGTTTTTCCTCCTCTCCTGTTTGTACCATTACAAAGTTACCGATCTCAGCATGTACCTCTGGTGTTTAGCCGCCCTGGCTACTTTGCTTTTTTTTATCGAACAGGTGTTGAGTTTGTGTCGCCGTGTTGTGTTCTCTCTTCCCCCCCCCCCCCTCTCTCTCTCTCTCTCTCTCTCTCTCTTTCTCTCTCTCTCTTCTCTTTCTCTCTCTCTCTCTTCTCCTTTCTCTCTCCCTCCCTCTCTCTCTCTCTATCTATCTATCTATCTCCCTCTCTCTCTCTCTCTCTCTCTCTCTCTCTCTCTCTCTCTCTCTCTCTCTCTCTCTCTCTCTCTCTCTCTCTCGCTTTCTTTCTGTGACACCATGATCTATGCGCACTAAAATGCCATCTCGAAAAAATATATCGCTGTCAGTTATCAATTCCGGTTGGGATATTCTACTGTTGGAGCTCGCCTCCTTTCACTGCGTATATGCGTGTCATGCCATGTCTCGTCGAGTATGTCACTGCGCTCACATTCCATCCCAAATCATTGTCTTTTTGTCTTCCTGCCATCCCAAGTCATTGTTCAACTGCATGTTGTGCTCTGAATTTTGACCCTGATGCCGTTGGACGGGACCGGGGATCTCCTGCTGTTGACCCACATCGGACAGTGTATGGCTGCAGCAAGCTCTGATGTTTCCAGGATGCACAGGACTCTGTCCAGGGAACAAGCATATTCTTGTGCAGCCATACCAATGCAGTTTGACACTAGTGCATCTTGGCATGCCCCCCCCCCCCCCAAACACTCACATACACACAGAAAAAAAGAAGAAGAAGAAAATAATAATGGTGGAATCCCTTCTTTAGGGGTCACAATGGCAGTGGTGCATGTCATGGTTGCCTTCACATTGATGCAACTATGTGATTAGCTGAGCCCTGTGGACCTCAGTCAAGTTAGCTGGCTGTCGGGGACAGTGTTGCCCCATATCCCCTATTTGTGGCTGACCTGCATGCCTTTATAGTGCTTCCCTGGGGTGTACCGGGAAATAGACCACCCGGGAAGATCACTATTGGGCTTACCCACCCTCCTTCCCATGCACACACTGAATATTGGGTAGGGGGACTTCACCATACGCATGTTTACTGGGTCATACTTGCATGCTGTCATCCTGTCACGCATGGAGGAGGGGTTCTCCCTTATCTTGGGTCCCACCACAAGCCAGTGCAGCAGGGTTCATTTACTAACCTTCCTGTCAGCACCTGTTACCATCTGTTACCCTAGTCAGTCAGTCAATCAATCACTCAGTCATAGTCATGCATGAATGCCATAGCCACGGCCTTAGGCACGACCCTGTGTGTATTTGTGTAGGTCTGTGTCTGCCGCTGCTGCTGCTGCTTTTAGTGGTGGTGGTGCTGCTGCTGTGCACATACGCATTGCCATTGATTGCCATGGTCTGACCAGTCACTGGGCGGTGCTCAGTGTTTGATGCAGTCTGACATCAGCACTACCACCACTAGACCGCTGTCACAAACTAGCTGTCTGCTGCACATTGGCACACATGTGAATTGTTTTGTATTGTCTGGATTCTCCAGAGGTAAATGAAGACCTCTCTTGGGAGTCTCTCCAAAAATGATAGATAAAGAGAATATGAAAATATATAGTAAAGTATGCCTGTGTAGCCTCCACCACGATTGCCTTCAGTGGACCGCACTGAACACTTCCTTGTGTCACAAGCCAACGCCATCTGCCAGTGTCATCTACCACCGCCATCCAGTGCAGTCACCGTCGCGTGCATGTGTCCACAACGCCATCACTGCATATAAACAGGTAACGACTCCCTCTGTCATTCATTCATAGCCACTCAATGACGTACGCTATCATTTTATGCCGTTTTTTGCGCGTTGTGCCTCGGTTGCATTGTTATACAAGTAGCAAAACTCTGTACAGGTCTCGCCGTCGTTTCTCAACTACTTCATGTAGTATTCTTGGCACGAAATTCTTTTACAGATTAAAATGGAATTTATCCTAAGGGGTTCTGGTGATTTTGGACCCCTTTGAAGCTCATTAATTTAAAGGCAATTTTATAGTGTATTGCTATGAAATAGATTGGTACCATATCGTGTACCCCTTTTCAAAACAACACAGTTACATACTTAATAATGCAGGTATGACTGCGGGCAGGTTTTAATGCTGACTCTTCGTCTCTGTGTGTGTGTGTGTGCGTGTGCGCGTGTGTGTGTGTGTGTGTGTGTGTGTGTGTGTGTGTGTGTGTGTGTGTGTGTGTGTGTGTGTGTGTGTGTGCCATTGTTATTGCTGTGCATGTGCAGGATGTGCAGGCGTCAACGTCCCGTTGCTGAATTGGCAAAGGATCGAGAGCGGCGGACATCTGAAGCCAGTGGTGTTGTGCTGATGGATGACCAGGGAGTGCGTAAAGACAGCATTGAATCTGCAGATTATTCTGCGTAAGTGTGACTTGGATTGCTATAATAATTATTGTTGTTCTTGGTTTCAAATCTTTCAAATCGTTATTCTTATGATATGCTGCTGCTGTTGTTGTTGTTTTTTTTGTTTGAATTCTTTATTCTCACGATGGCACCATCGCCTTGTTGTTGTTGTTGTTGTTGTTGTTGTTGTTGTTGTTGTTGTTGTTGTTGTTGTTGTTGTTGTTGTTGTTGTTGTTGCTGCTGCTGCTGTTGCTGCAGCTGCTGTTGCTGTTGCTGTTCTTCTTGTCCTTGTTCTTGTTGTTTCTTGTTGCTGCTGTTGCTGCTGCTGTTGCTGTTGCTGTTGCTGCAGCTGCTGTTGCTGTTCTTGTTGTTCTTGTTGTTCTTGTTGCTGCTGCTGCTGCTGCTGTTGCTGTTCTTGTTGTCCTTGTTCTTGTTCTTGTTGTCCTTGTTCTTGTTATTGTTCTTGTTGGTGGTGGTTGTAGAGGTGGTGGTGGTGGTGATGGTGTTGTTCATCTTTCTCTCTCTATCTCTCTCTATCTATCTTTCTTTCTTCCTCTTCGGCTTTCTTGCCGTATCTCTGAATCTCTCACCATACAACACTCTCCGACATCCTCACCCTTATGACAGGGGCGTCGCACACGGTACGGTCACTACGGTATTGACCGTACCACTATTTGCCCCAAATACCCGGTGAATCAATAAAATGTACTGATTTGGGCTCTAAATTTCCATAATTTTGGGCTCATCCACCCGGTCTCCCCCACGAGTGAGTTGTACTTCAGATGACTGACCGTACCACACAAAATTACCTTCCGACGCTCCTGTATGAATATACCACTCTCTTATGCTTGTGTCCCTGTGCATCCTAGCCGCTACCAAACACACGAGGGCACTGTGAACACCTCCATCAAGTATCACAAAACTGACACACCAAGCATGTGGGTAACGCAAGGATCCATGTCATCAGGGTAAGAACTAACTTTTTCTCTTTCTTTGGGGTTATCTTGCATGAGAACGCACACACACACACACACACACGCAATCCCCCAAAAGATTGGTAATGTATGCAAATTTTCTGTGTCTGAGTGGGCTTCATGACCATAAGTAAAAAGTAAATTATCGTGTCCGTTCCCAAAGGGAACTCACGACATCCGCTAACACCCGGTAAACCCTAGCGGCAGATGCAGCGCCTAACGGTGGGGGTGAGTGGATAAGTCTCACAACCACTGGCACAAGTGTCGAGAAACCCCATTAGCTGCACCCATGTACCCCTTGTGCCTGGCCACAAGTTCCCAGTTGACTGTAGGATGACCATAAGGGAAGTGAATAGTTGGGCGTTGTGGCGCTAGTCTGCTTCTCATGGCTTCCCAACTCGGCCGTGATGACAGCATTTTCTATTTGGCGTTCCATAACATTACTATGCCTAGCCATTCTGAAAGGGAAAATCCCCAGTAAGCCGTTCGTGAGCTACCACGTGCAACCTCTCCATGTAGACCAGGGAAAAAAGTAGACCTGCGCTTTTAATACTAGGGTCATTCCATGTCATTCTCATCCTGGTGTATATGGGCGTGCGTGTGCGATTGTGGCTCGTTCTGTGTATGCTTACGTGCGTGCGTGTGAGTCTTGTGTGCCAGAGACCATTGCCTGCCACCTCAATGTCAGCCATGCCATGCCACAGCCAAGCCATGGACACTCCTGTCACTATGCCAGTTGTCACCAGCGAATGCGGTGTCGGCGGCAGTGTACGGGCTCTGTCGGATGTCATGGTGACCTTGGTAACTGGAGCGTTAGAAACAAGTCCGCAATAGCGTGTAGTAACAACAAGCTAACATTGCAGTGCCCCCGCACTGATGCCGTACACACAGCAGCAAGTGTGGCAGGAACTATGGTAATGAAAACAGCGCGGTGCAACCATAACGATTGCAAGAACTTGGGCAGCAGGCATAGCAGCGGTGGTTGCGGAGTTGCTAGAATAGCAGTGGAGGTAATGGCAGCGGTTGCAATGCTAACGGTGATAGTGGTGGTGGTGGTGCTGGTGGTGGTGGTGGTGGTGATGTTGATGTTAGCAGCGACAACGGTAGTGACGGTTGTGGTGGTGGCAGAGGTAGTGACGGTTGTGGTGCTGCATGGTGGCAAAAGTGACTGCAGTGGTGCTGGTAGAAGCAAAGGTGGTGGTGGTGATGGCAACGGGGATTGCAACGGCAGTGGTGGTGACAGCGCCAACGGGGACGATGGCGGCAATGGTGGTTGCAACGGCGGTGGTGACAGCGACGATGGCAATGGCGGTGATGGCAGCGGAGACAGCGACGATGGTGGTGACAGCGGCAATGGAGATAGCGGCAACGGCGATTGAAACGGCAGTGGTGGCGACGGGGGCAATGACAGGGACGATGGCGGTGATGATGGCAGTGACGGCAGCAGAGACAGCGACGATGGCGGCTGCAACTGCGGTGACGGTGACGGAAGTGGCGACAGCGGCATTGGTGGTGGAATCAACAGCGACGGCGATGACAGAAGCTGCAGTGACGGCGACTTCAGCAGCAGTGTATCCCCTGCGTAGCATCCTGCCATGGCAGCGGAAATGGCAGTGCTGGTGGCTTAGGTGACAAGAGTTGCCGGGAGAAAAGTAACGGTGGTGGTATTTGTTATCAGCAGGGACAGTGGTATATGATAGCACTAAGCATGACATAAGACCAGTCGCAAGCAGTGCACTATCAGAAAAATGCAATCACTGGTTATCGTACTTTTCATGAAGCAGAGGCGCTACTCATCATCGATTCTCAAATTTGCTGCAAGGATATCGCCCGTGCATTGGCCATCATCTGATTCCATCCGTTGCGCTACGCACTGCATGCTCATCCACAGCTCTTCCAGCAGTATCACCACTGTACCTTAAGCACCTGGCTCTTAGGCAGATGATCGTCGTCATTTCCCTCTGTCATTTGCCATTCATCACCATTGTCTTGGCATTAATTTTCTAATGGCACGTCATCATCCACTCACACAATAGTTCATTGCACGCACTTGCCCCCGGAGACATACACGCATCATCCACTCACACAATAGTTCATTGCACGCACTTGCCCCCGGAGACATACACGCACTCCGCTACCCATACACTCACTTGTGCACGCATCTCATCACGTACACGTGCCTTTATGCCACTCTCGTGCTGTCATATTTGCCTGTCATGATCTTTCCATCTGCGGCATTCTCTCGGCCATTTCTCCGTGCAGTCGTCAACTCTCGCTCACATTGCTTCGGTTGAAAAAAATAGTGACTCTCGGGTTTGCTTTTGCCCGTGGCTGAAAATGGTGTAGAAATGAAAGATCTCGTAGGACTATTTGTTTCGAGTGCCTAGTAAAATAAGGTGCTTCACCGGTCTTTTCAAGACCAACCCGACCGTACACATCTGTACTCGTGCCCGCGGCACGCATCCATGCACAGGCATGTCTCACACGAGTGTGTGTGTTCTCTGGTGTTTGCCCGTGACCGTGGTGCTGCATGATTGCATGCCATCCGGCAGCGTCCCGGTGAGCTGATGGATGCTTGCCGGCAGAGTGCGGACTGCTTGCATGCTGTAGTACTAGTAGTGTGCCAGTTGCTCCGGCCTGTGCTTGCCTACACACAGGACGGCGGACTGGTCATGTCTTCTCTGATGCTGTGTGGTGCCAGTGGTAATGTTTGTCTGTGTGCTTATGTATGTTCTTGCTGCTCATGCCCCAGGATTGGGAAGACCATGCTTGGCGCTGGTTAGCGTAGGCTTATTCCCCAAGTTTGGGAAGACCATGCTTTGCGCTGGTTAGCATAGGATTATTCCCCAAGCTTGGAGTGTATTTGTGTTTGTCCTCCTCTCATATCTAGGGTTATTGGCCAAGCTTGGGAAGACCACGCGTTGCGATGGTTAGCGTAGGCTCATGCCCCAAGTTTGGGAAGGCCATGCTTTGTGCTGGTTAGCGTAGGCTCATGCCCCAAGTTTGGGAAGACCATGCTTTGCGCTGGTTAGCATAGGTATATACCTCAAGCTTGGAATTGCTGTGTGTTCTCCAATAGTTCTAGGATTACTTGCCAAGCTTGAGAAGGCCATGCTTTGCATGGCTAGGTACATTCTTGTGTTTTTGATGTTTTTTTGCAAAAAAATTATCTGGGAGCACGGGTCCATGCCCAAATTTTTCAGGATGGATTTTTTTTGGCAAAAATGGCCTGGGAGCACAGGTTCATGCCCAAATTTTTCAGGATGGTTGGCCAACTGAGTCTCACTGCCATGGTTACTGTGGACAGAGCTACAGTGGGGCTCAATGAAATCCAATCACATGAGCGGACTACATGTACGCGCAAGGTGGTGTACAGACCTGTGAACGGGTGCAAGGCACAAACCAAACTCACACGATCAGATTTCATTGAGTGGCACTGCACATGAAAAATTGATCCCACCACGAGTACGCTAGCACAGTGAGTGCGTTCGATTACGCACGCAATCGATTCCAGGGCTCATGACATGAAATCGAACGACTTGAATGCATGCAAATGGATTCATGAATCGATTCAAGTGTGTAATCGAACGCACTCACCGTTTGCAGCCAGGGGTACTACAATACAGTCAGACCTCGCTTATCCGGATCCCTCGCCATCCGGAAGAAAATCGCCCGTTACCAATTTACAGCATATGCCATGCATACATACAGTACATGTGTTCGATTGCCCGGTTCCCTCGCCTATCCGGATATTTTTGTGGAAAACGGATGTGTGCGGAAGCGAGGTCTGACTGTAGCTAACTCGCGATCGGAATTCACTGCACAAGTACACATGTGTGGCACGTGAAATTCAGACCGATGTGCTCTGTTAGAGGCACACGGGCCGATTTTATTGATGCCGCTACAGGTAAACAAGAGTGTATGAGCACTGCAGGCATTGTGGACAAGCAACTTTTGAATTCTGCAAGTGCACATCGCCATCAGTTCACCCAGCAACACTGCGCATGTAAACCAATGAGTGCGCAATTCCAGCATCGTGTCTGCAACAGCAGAACTTAACATCACTTGATAAACCCGTACACATTGTTTGCATCCAGTGCTTGATGCAGTGCTGCTCAATGAAATCCGATCGCTTGAGTCAAGTATTCACCGGGCGCTGTGCAACCCTATAGCCTACGTGACCTGCTACTGTGATCTTCACTCGTGCAGGGCGCAACGCTGACTCACTTGATCAGTTTTCATTGAGCAGCGCGGTAGATACAGGGTTGCACACAATCCTGCATGTTTTGGGTTCAACCCTCTGCTGGCCACTTCGCACTAGCTGTTTTCCAGCGTAACCTAACAGTTAATGAGCGATGTTACTGTAAGACCAGATATTTTAACGTGAATCTAAGTTAGCGATCTCCGGATTTTTGTAGGTTAGCGAAGTGAAATTCTAACAAATTCTTACAGTACGTGATGTGAAGTTCTGCCATCGCAGCACTGGACAGAGCTAGGTTGTGCGTGCAGTTGCAAAACCGAGCACAGTATACCACATATACCCATAGGTTGTCGGGTTCGTGAAGCAACCGGGCATGGTTAGTTTGAGTATGTGTCAAAGTTCTCCAGATACAGGTCCTCCATCGTTATAACGAGTCCGGTTAGTACAAAAAAACCATTGAACTTAGGCGAAACGGAAGGATTCATTGCAACCGAAGAGAGAAAGAACGGTGCAATCTACAAGAATCAAACCAATGACCTGATTGGTATAAGTGAAAAACAGCAAAAAAAGTATTACTTGTGGCATTGCACCATGCCGAGCCACAGTAGCACCCTCATAATAAAGTGGAGCATTTCGAAAAAAAGGTCAGATGCCATGTCAGTTTCAATCTCGATTTCTCCAGACCGCGTACATCCCCCTGCAACCATTCTGGTACTCAACAACATGCATTGCATTGTTCCGATGCCGGCGAATGCAGCTTCCGAGACAAATGAAGACGCACCAGACGATGGCA